ACACACACACACACACACACACACACACACACACACACACACTCTCTCTCTCTCTCTCTCTCTCCTTCTCAGGGAAGTTCTGCCAACATTCTGCCTCCCTCCCGCAGAGGAGCCAGCTCCCAATCCAGGAGTACATGGGTGTGTCTTGGGGGCAGGCTGTGGGTTAGACTCAGAGAAGAACTTTTCAGACAGAAATGAAATTACTGGGAGAACTGAAGCTGGTGGCCAGGAGAGGGGTCAGGGAGGGTGAAGGCCCTGAGACACCTTCCCTTCCTCTCTGGCCCATTTTTTATAGGCTACTGGGTTATCAAGGCAATGCTAGGATGGGACAGAAAGAGCCAGAAGTCAGGGCCACTCTTGGTGAGAGAAACTGGGAGCTGCAGAATGGGTGCTGGGGGAATTTGGGCAAATTATTTAGCCTCTCTAAGTCTGGGTCTTCACCTCTGTAAAGTGGCTTAGGGACTCCCCAAAGTGGGAGGATGTCACTTGAAATTGAGTGGTCAGCGAAGGTGACATCCAAGTGGAGAGCTGAAGGAGAAGAGGGAATGGATACGTGGGGAAGAGTGTTCCAGGAAGGGGGAACAGCAGGTGCAAAGGCCCTGAGGCCAGAACTTGTCTGGTGTGTGAGAAGGAGTGAGGAGGTCGTATGGCTGGGGACAAGAGAGGGTGGAGGAGAGGGAGCAAGATGAGGCCAGAGACAGAATGATGGGGCCGGGCTGTGTGAGATCTGATGAGCCAGGGAGGGGCTTGGGTGTTCTGAGTGAGACCAGAGCCATGGAGGCTTCTGAATAGAAGAGGGATGTGAAGTAATTTGCATTTTTAAAGGAAACCTAGATGAGACACAGAAATAGTCACTCAAAGAGGAGGGTATAGTGGTAGAATGCTTGTTTAGCATGCACAGGGTCCTGGATTCAATGCCCAGTACCTCCATTAAAAATACATACATAAATAAATCTGAAAAAGAAAAAGAAATAGTCACTCAAACCCAGGTCCAGAGTCAGGAAGAGGAGTATTGACTGGTTACCCCACATCTAAATGGGGCAAAAAAACCCAACCCTAAGGCCTCATATGTCATGGCTTCTAAGGAATCGTGCCCCTCCCAGAGACTGGGGGATACTGGAGAGAGATGCCTGCCCCCATTGCCAGGAAGAATATGAGTGAGAGACCCTCCAGCAGCCCCTCCCCTGCCCCATCTGAGACAGACAGACAAATACCCCAACACCTGCCACAGCCCAAGTCCCAGGCAGAGGCCCTCTGAGCACCAAGTTGGAAATGAGAGGAATCACCAGATGAGTTTAGGGCCCCCAGCTCCTTGCCTTCCCCACTCACTAACTTAATCAGTCTGTGTTTTTATGTGCCTGGCTTCACTCTTCCGTGGTCTGTTTGTGAGATTCATCTGCATTGTTGGGCAAATCAGCTGCCTGCTCCCTTTTGGTGCTGTATAATATTCCACTGTGTGACTATTCTGCCATCTACTTCTCCATTTTCCTGCTGATAGGCATCTGGATTGTTTTAAGATGGGAGCTATTATAAATGAAGCTTCTGTGAACATTTGCATAATTAAAATAAAAACATTTGTCTTTTGGCAAAAACATGAGCTGTTTCTCTTGAGTACATGCCTGGAGGGGAAGTGCTGAGTCCTAGGATGCACGATGTTCTGCTGTAGTTTCCTGAAGTGGTTAGACTCCCATCAGCAGCATGTGCTGTCTTATCTTTCTCTGTCTTTCTCTCTTGGTCTCTGCCTGGCCCCTCTCTGTGTCCCTTTGTGTCCCTGTCTCTTTATATCTGTCTGTTTGTCTCCCCCAGTCTCTCTCCTTCCTCAATTCTCCACCCCTAACAAGCCTTGACTCCTGAGCAACAGAGAAGAGGTTCACTCCCCTCACCCAGACTTCCTCCTCCTTCCCCACAGGACCCTACCACCCTCCATGGCTCCCCTGGCCTTGGTGGGGTTTGCACTCCTCCTGGGGGCTCCCCCATGCTCAGGGGCAGCCACGCCGACCCCCTCCCTGCCTCCTCCCCCAGCCAATGACAGTGATGCCAGCAGCACGGGGGGCTGCCAGGGATCCAGCCGCTGCCAGCCAGGGGTCCTGCTGCCCGTTTGGGAGCCTGACGACCCATCACTGGGTGACAAGGCAGCGCGGGCCGTGGTCTACTTTGTGGCTATGGTCTACATGTTCCTGGGCGTGTCCATCATTGCCGACCGCTTCATGGCATCTATCGAGGTCATCACGTCCAAGGAGAAAGAGATCACCATCACTAAGGCCAATGGCGAGACCAGCGTGGGCACAGTCCGCATCTGGAATGAGACCGTGTCTAACCTCACACTCATGGCCCTGGGCTCCTCGGCCCCTGAGATCCTGCTGTCCGTCATTGAGGTCTGTGGCCACAACTTCCAGGCGGGTGAGCTGGGCCCGGGCACCATCGTGGGCAGTGCTGCTTTCAACATGTTTGTGGTCATTGCCGTGTGCATCTATGTCATCCCGGCTGGCGAGAGCCGCAAGATCAAGCACCTGAGAGTCTTCTTTGTCACTGCCTCTTGGAGTATCTTCGCCTATGTCTGGCTTTATCTCATCCTTGCCGTCTTTTCCCCGGGTGTGGTCCAGGTGAGCAAGGACCCACAGACGTCTCCTTGGTGCATGTATATCAGCAAAATCCAGAGGGGTAGCTTCCCGGGCTTGGAGAGTCAATTCTTGTATTTGCAGGAATGCATGCTCACATCCAAGAGGGACACCAGGTATGGTTGTGCGGGTCACGCACTGCACAAAGGCATTGGAGCCAGAGAGGGCAAGTTGGGACTGGAGTCTAGTGGGTGTTCCTAAGTCATGTCTGGATGGCACTGCAGACCCTGGGAAGGGCTCATCTGCCCTGAGTGGGATGCCATTTTGCAATATACCCATACCAAAGGGGCACATTTTAACTCTCACAAGGGCACGACAGTTGATAACAGAGTCCTTGTGATCTATGTACTGCACACTACAGTCTAGCCAGGTATTTCCCAGGTCTGTTCACTTGTTTTCCTATACTCCCTGTCTTTTGCATAATTTATTCCCTCTTTTGCATAAAGACATCCTCTATTTGCATAATTCATGCTACAGTTGCATAATCCAGCCTTGTGTTTTCTGGTAGTGCTAATATGATTTGGGTAACTTGGTGCAATTTACATAGCTTATCCACGGACTTTGCATAGATACACAACCACATCTGTGTAAGCTAACTCTGTTTGCCACATATGCTGTAGTGGTTTGCATAACTCATTCATTATTTATCATTGACTTCTGATGTTAGGATAATTTATGCCACTTCCCTGTAATGTATACTCACATCCAATCTAACATAGGTATAAACCCAGCCCACTGCAAAGACCACTTTGCATAATTTATTCCAATAGTGAGATAAAATTTAGACTCACATTGAGCTGAGTAATTTACACCCACATTCACATAATCTTTTCCCTCTCATTTATCCGGTGCCTTAACCAGCATACTACCTCATCTTCCTTTAAAACATTTGTCTAATTTATTTCCCATAACCCCTAGACTGCTGTCTACACTTGCATAGTTTATTCATGGGCCTGGCCTAATTCGTTCACATATGCATAATTTATTTGAGGCTACCCAGGATTCCTTCACACATGTGTATAATCTATTCATGCCTATCTGTCAAGTTTTGTCAGTTAGAGTTTCTTTCCAGGAAGGATCTGAAGTTAGAGGTATCAAAATTCTTTGCAGATGATTTCAAATCAGAACTGAAGGATTAGAAACCACAGTGAGGGAAGAGGGAGATGGTAGCACCAGAAGACAGGGAGGAGAGAGGGAGAGATAGTTACTGCAATTGACTCATGTCTGTAATGCTGAGTTTCCTGGCTGCCGTTTCGAAAAGTATAGAATGATGCTTCACACAGTTCTCAGGCATTGTTAAAAAAAAATTCCTGGATGCAGTGAACTGGAGAGGTGAGAATATCCATATGGCTCTGGATTTTCTCCGGAAGAGCTGTGTGATCCCAGGCAAAGCCTGTACCCTCTGGACCTCAGTTTACACATCTGAACCATGTAAAGGGTTGAACTAGACCACTGGTTCTTAATCCTTCATACCCAATCCTCCTTTTTTATAACAAATTTTGTTAGATCCCCTTTACTCTGCTCATGTGAAATTCTTAGATAAGAGGAGAGGGATCTTCTAGCCTTAGAGTTTTTGGTGCATGGACTCTGGAACCAGAGGCCTGGGTTCAAATTCCATCTCCGTTGTTTCCTAGCTGTGTGACCTTGGGCAGGTTCTTTACCTGCTCTGTGCCTGTGTTTCCCCACCTGTAGTCAGGGGATCATCGTAGTACCAACTACAGAGAGCTGTGTGAGGATGTGGAAGGGCTTAGAATAGTGAGCTCCAGACAGAGTATATGTGAGCTCCTCTTCCCATTAACAAACTGGCCTCCACTGTTGGCTTCCCCAGAGTCAGTATCATGCCCAGACTGTGATACAAAGGAAAGTAAGATCTACTAGAACAACCTGCACTTCCGCATGTAAATTCCTCGGCATGACTACCTTCAAAGTCATGACAAAGGAGCCAGATTCTGGCACCTACTGATATATAATGAACAAGTTTGGGTTTAAAAGGAAAAAAAAGTTCAGAAACCATTCTGTGCACGGAGCCCAGCAGAGGAGCCGATAGCCATGAGATTAAAATCGAGTGTCTTCAGTGGACATTACACTACAGGGAAAAATACTTCATATATACATAAAACAAAGTGGAGTCTAGATTCTATTATAAGCAGGGTTTCAGTGACATGAATGTCCAGTGGGAGGTTCTGAAGTCAGGGAGGACACAGGACAATCCTGTCTTCTGTGGGATTGTCCCATGAGTCACTGGATGTCACCAGGGACCATATCCCCCTCCTCAATTATGGTGGCAAAACATAAATACCCCTACACTTGTGATACCTCCTCTTGGGGACGTTCTATCCACTGAGTCCTGAAGGTGTCTCCCTCCCCTACCAGGGTGGGCAAGTCCATGAGCCCACTTTCAGTGGGGGCCCTAGAAGGAAGATGTGGATCTCCTAGAATTGAACCACATTTTGTTTACCTGCAGGGATGAAAGCAGATCTTAGTGGTTTGAGATCGTTCTTCTGATTAAGAGTGAATCTCTAACGTATACAGTGGCCAGTTCAGTGAACACAAGGCGAGAGTTCATTTTACATCTTGTGTGGAAAATTTAGCTTCTTTTCACAAGCCTGCCTGGTAGCTTTGTGTGGCTTTACTATTTCCAAGTCCTGCCTTTTCTCTGAACCATGAGTAAACATAGCCACAAGGGGATGTGGTGATTGGAGCTTAAAGATATCTTCCCTACCAGGCTCATTTTAAAGATAGCTCTGGGGCCATCTTATTATAAATACTCTTTAATAAGAAAGGTAACATATGATTCTTTATATGAACATTTCAAGGTGAACTGTCAAGTGTTGGTGGATGTTTCCTGTATATGCCCAGACCATGGACAGACTAAGTCCCAGACCGCAATGAGCCCAAGATAATAGCGCTAGTAATAATAATAACAGTGATGTTAATTTCACATTTTGTGTATTTTCCATGTGTCAGTAAGCGACAGCAGCAAGTGCTAGGGGTGCATTCAATCTTGGGGATATCCCCCTTTTACAGACAAGAGGCTGGGCCAGGCATTCCTCTTCTAGAACCAGAATCTAAATTTAGCACTGCCTTGTCTCTCGGGGAAGGTAGCATGTAAACATGGGAACTCGTTTTATAAGGCTATCAGACCATGAGCCAAACTTTTTCCTCTTTTAGAGTCAGAGTCCTGTCCCTCATAGGGCCAAACAAATACTAAGGAAGGAGAATCTGGCAAAGGGCTGTATTCACTGGCTGTGGGAGGAATAGGGGAGTTCGGGGAGGAAAGCAGAGAGCAGACCCGGGGTGACAGGTGGGGTCTGGAGAAGTGGCGGCACCCCAGGTGAGGAGGGGCAGAGGAGAAATGGAGCGGGGAGAAAAAAGATAGAGGGAGAGAGGCAGGAAGAGACAACAGCTCTGCTCCTGGACAGGGGCTGGGACCACATTAGGGGAACTGGTCTCTGGCTTGGTGGTGGCTGAGGATGTCTGGGGAGGATGTCTGGGTTCCTGGCCCTTGGGCAGCTGGGTGTGGTTCTCAGCATGACAAAAGGTGGATGGATGGATGGATGGATGGATGGATGGATGGATGGATGGATGAAGAGATGAGGAGAGAGACAGGGAGGGCGGGGCGGGGGACATAAAGGCCTAAAGAGAAGAGAAGGAGGGTGGGGGCAAGGAGAAACTGCGAAGAATCCGAGAAGGGAGAGAGTGGGTATCTACAAAAGATATAAAAGAAAGACATGGAGACAAGAGGACAGGGGCAACAAGAAAGGAAGAGACAGAAAGAAAGGTGAAAAAAACAACTGTCTCAAAGAATGAGACACAGGCAGAGAAAGAGACAAGGACCTAGACAGAGAGAGAAGAGAGATGAGGAGAGGCAGGGAGGAAAGAGAGAAAGGGATGGAGGGAGATAAGGGGAAAGAAGAGAGGTAGAGGAACGGAGAGAAGCGGGAAGAGGCAGAGATG